TGTGTGTGTGTGTGTGTGTGTGTGTGTGTGTGTGTGTGTGTGTGTGTGTGTGTGTGTGTGTGTGTGTGTGTGTGTGTGTGTGTGTGTGTGTGTGTGTGTGTGTGTGTGTGTGTGTGTGTGTGTGTGTACATCCAAATTTCTTCACTCTACAGCCCGGTTCCACTGCCCTTCCTGTCATCTTTCACACTCAAGCAAAAACAATTACAATATCCAAAAATGGATAGGAAATTGGCCATAACAACATCCATTAAGCAGAATTATGTAAAGAAAGAATACATTTTATGCTGTAAATTTTCTGCTGAGTTGAAATCAAAGACAATTTGCTTTTGCTTATTGTTTTTGCATTGTGTGTGAGGAATATCTACACAGGGAGAACCGTGAAAGCTGTTCTGTTCACTTGACTACATTCAATGAACCAATCAACAAGTATTACCTACTATGTGCCAGGCACTGTATTAATCATCTTTCAATTGGGAAAAAAAAATTCACTCTCATGATGAATACAATGATCAAATTAACTGAATAATATTTACAGGTTTACTCTATTCACCAGGATATCAGATTTTTCTGAAAATAATGAAGCATATTCAATAGCATTGCTCACTATAATATCAATTAAGTAATAATGAACAAGATATCAATAAATATTAATATTTTTAACAAGCAAGTTTCTGTACTGATGAAAATTTAAAAATATTTATTTAATCTTTATCACATCCCTTTTCATTTCTATCTTTATTTCTTATAATGTATGTTAGTACAGGTATGTAATTTATAAACAAAGATGCATATATTGGAAGTGCATACCCCAAAATTTTTATTGTTAAGTATGTGCAATCAAAAAAGGCTTGGAGACCACTGGCCTAGAGATTTAATAAATGTTCATTATAGAAATGATATTTCAGTGCTTTTGGTGAAGGGTGACAAAATGACATCTTGTATCTTAGTACTACTTAGTAAGTAACTAGTCTCATTAAGTCTGGACTCTCACAGCTCCTCCCAGAGTATCAAAGCCTAGACTTACCTTATTGTCCTTGACTTGGGAAGGACATTCTGTTTCATGAGGGTCATTTGTATCTGGAAGATTCAGAGGGGAACATATAAAACTTTAAAGTGCACAGGTTACACATACAAGGCAGACCAAAGGCATTTATGTGTGTTATGAACTAAGACAGCTCATAGCCCTAAATCCTGAGATAAGAGGCTATCTGCTATGTAGGATGTGTTGGCCCAACTTCTGACAGTGAGGCACACATGTACGGAACGAATGTGAAAAGGCCATAAGCCTCTGGTACTCCAAGGCCTTGCTCTACTTTTGGGACAGATAAAGATAAAACTTGGAAATATATTTAGCCCAAAGGAAACTAGCATTTGTTTGAAAAAAACATCAGACTTATCTTTGTATCTCCTCCATACTCTAAAAAGTGGGAGGGATTTGGTTCCCTACCTACCTTCCAGCTAGTTGAAATCACAGAGAGTAGGGACACCTAGAAGAGGTAACCAGTGGTTAATTTGCTAACAAAGTTCAAAAACAAGTCTAAAGGTCCTGAAGGAATTTTCTGAACCAACTGGAAGGGTAAGCAGTTGGCCACTGGTTGAAAGAAGACTGACTATATCCTTAGAGGTTTTGAAAAATCCAAACGCTGGAGATAGTCTTAACAATTCTGACAGCCATCAATTCAAGGCAGGGAACAGAAAGACAAGCTCTCCAGAGAGACAAATATAGAAAGGCAGCATTCCAGGCAGAAAGTGGCTTCAAGGGTTGAGGTCTCCAGCAGCAGAGAAAGGAGTTGACTATGGATTCAATAAAGAACAGCCAAGCTGCAGACAGAAGCAGACCCAAGAAGCTCAACTGAGCCACTAAAAGCAGAGGGAAGCAACTTGAGAACTACATCAGAAGAGACAGGGTAACTGGGATCCCGCAGTAAGAGATGGGAGTTACCTTGGCCATGTGTTCCCTACAAGAATGCCTCAACACCCCTGCTCTCTACCTTTGTGTCCAGTGTTCCCAGAGGTCATGTTAATCAAACCCGATATATTTTGAAGGTACTCTTCCTACCATGCCATCTTAGTGAATGCCTTTACTTTGGGCTAACTGCATTTCCTGGTTGGCTTACTGGTAGAAGCTCTTGAGCTCCAGTTTTAGGAGTACAGAACCACAGAATACCGAAATAGCAGTTGTCCTTCCGGGAACCTAACTTGCAAGTGTGAACTGATGGGAACAACCTGGGTGGGGGTGTGACACTAACAAAATAAGTAGCTTAATAAATATTTATTAAATGAATGAGACAAATCAGCATAACAACTTCTCTCCTCATCCTTCTAAATTAGGGGTTCTTAGCCTAGGGTCCAGGCTTGGTTTTTTTGTTTTGATTTCTTGAATATTTTGATAACTATTTCAGTATAATTAGTGTTCTTTGTATCTTGAGACAACTAGGTAATACAGTGGGTGGAGTGCTGGACTTGGAGTCAGAAAGACCCGAGTTCAAACTGACCTTCACTCACTTACCAGCTCTGTGACCACAGGCAAGTTACTTAACTACTATCAGCTTTAGTTTAATAATAGCATAATAATAATAATAGTACCTCCCAGGACTGTTGCAAGGATCAAATGAGGTAATATTGACAGGCTATATACATATGCTGCTATTACTAGTGTTATTTATTTTATATAGTTAAAAGCATTATTCTGAGAAGGGGTCTGTAACACAAAAAAAGCTTAAAAACACTTGCTTTAAATCATCTGGCTTAGTGCTCAAGAGGGAAGAGTCAAGAGTTAGAACATTCAAATGGTTTCAAAGAATCACCAGCAAGAAATTCTTAAGCTATAAGTTACCACCTTCCAAAAGCAGCCTAGAGGAAAAACAAGGAGGTGACACTGATACAGTATGGAAAGAAAAAGGGCAGAAAAAGGAAGAGTAAAGACTTTGTAATACAATCTTTGAGAAATATGAAGCTTATGGGGCTGCTAGGTGGCACAGTGGATGGAGCACCGGCCCTGAAGTCAGGAGGACCTGAGTTCAAATCCGGCCTCAGACCAAACACTTGATGCTTACTAGCTGTGTGACCCTGGGCAAGTCACTTAACCCCAATTGCCTAAAAAAAAAAAAAAAAAGAAACTTACCTAAGATAGCAGCTGCCTGTAGGGAGTATTTTTCTGATTTCACTTGAGTAATCAGCTCCTGGACGTCGGGTAGCTCCTACAACGTTTTAGAAAACATCAGTCCATGATGAGAGGAGGGTTAACGAAACAAAATACTATAGAGTATGGCAGATAAAACAAGCCAGAATGGGCACTACTTAGAAATAACATCATTTAATTTTTTTCCATTTAATGTCTTCAAAGAACTTTACTCTCTGTTCCTATAAATGATTTTAATCTCTTTCACATAGAGGGGGCAATGAGTCAATCAATACAATTTTTCTTCCTGTCTCACTTCTTTTGGTTGCAGAAATAGAAAGAATCTAGTGAGAGCTAGAGTAAAGCAAATACATTTAACTGTCCCCATTTATCTTCCCATTCCCAAACCCTAAATTTCCCACCACCTTTTCTAACCTATTCTATATACTATTGCCAGATTAGCCTTCGTGAAACACTATTCTTAATGTGGTTCAAAAGACAATCAGCAAGCAGTACAAATTCTTAATCAGGGGCGTTTTACGTTCAAATTCTTCTACCCGGCATGAAAAGCCCCATTTTCTCTATCTACTGCTATCTCCTATTACTTCTCTGTAGTCTAGTTAAGGCCATTCTCCTTTTTGCCCTATAGATACATCACAATTATTCCCACCTGTCTGCTTCTGTGCATAGCAGACACCTCCAAAGCCCTATTTCCTCTAAGAAGCCTTCTGTACTTCAGCCCACACTGAACTCTTACTGTACCAGTCTGTACCACAAATATAACATATTATATAATGTCCTTTAAAGTTCAAAAACAGTTTAATATGTAGGAAATAAAAAAACTTGTCTTACTATCAAAATAATCAACTTGAAGATAGAACCCCATATATTATATCTATATCTACAGAGATCCAAGTATGATTCCAGGCACACAACAAACGTGCAATACTTCCTGACTTGCCTAGGTAGCTATTATGAGACGTACTGTGAGAAAATCACAGTCACCTCTGTGCAGTTGCAGAACATTATAATCGCTTTCTTTCACAAGTTGTGTCAAAAATTTCATTGTTTTAAAGGTCCCAGAGCTAGGACAACCAATCTCTTAATACCTCGCAGTAAAGTTTTCAGACTGCTGTAATGGACATGATTTTAATCCAAAGAACAGGCTTTCCCTTCTACAACCCCAGCTCCTCCTGAAGCTTAGGAACCTGAAGCCCAAGAACAGCTCTGTCACTGGGTCACAAAGCTGTAGCCCACAAGGGCTTAGTGTTCTTTAGGTTACCTTTCAAGTACAGCTTAAAAAAGGAGCCTAATTACTTTGCCCCTAGCTTCTAGAGGCAGCTATATTGCACAGTAGTAGAGTGTTGGGACTGGAGTCAGGACAACCTGAGTTCAAATCTGACTTCTGACAGTAGTTGTGTGACCTTGGGCCAGTCACTTAACTGCCTGCCTCAGTTTCCTTATCTTTTAAATGGGGATAATAGTAACACCTACCTCCCTAGGATTGTCATGAGGATCAAATGAGATAACTGTAAAGTGCTTAGTGTATACCGGGCACATAGTAAGAGCTATAAAAATGCTAGCTATTATTATTTTCTAGCACTATCATCATCACCATCATTATGTCCTCCTAAAAAGCCCCTCGTTTCTCTTAGAAACCAGAAGAGGAGGATAGCTCTAACCTTTAGGCTGTTTTGGGAGGCTCCTGCTTGAGACTGCACTTCGCTGGCATATTTTAAGACTCGGTCATATAGGACAAGGGCTTCACTCCATTTCTTCACCAGCACATAAGACTGAGCAATGAAGAAACACCTGGTGGGAAACAAACCACAGGAATCGAAAGCAACATGTACTTAAGTCTTTAGTTTTCCCAGCTGTTCAGACTAAATTTAAACCAAGGTAACAGGTATTCTAGTATCAGAACAAGGGTTATAAACAAAGGGTCTCTAGATTTCAAATATTTAAGTTTGCTGCACTGACTACTATGTACTTGAGAAGTACTTGAATCATATCTGATAGTGATTCAATGCATCTTTAATCACTGGCTGAACAAGTAAAACAGGGTGGTCCTCTGGAGTAGACAAGTAGTACAGGAACATTCCTTTCTCCCAATCAAAAATACTGATAACTGGAACTTTTCAGCATAGCCTGAGGAGCCACCGTCCTGGAGAGATCATACTAATGAAAAGATCACTTATATTAAACTCTGTCTTTAGAGAGTTGTTTCATTAATATCTTACTATGAATTTAATCAGATTATCAATTAGTAAGTGCAGCTGAGTTTTCAGGGTGAGTGTTTTGACTAGGGTTAGAAGAAAGGGGAAGTTTTGAATTAATTGGGGGATTGTGGACAAAAGAGAACACAGAATATCCGAAGGACAGAAAAAGGAAATAAAGAGACATTCAGGAAGGGTAATCAAAGGATGGGGAAAAATAAACTTTGCAATTTTGCTCAGAGCCAGGGGTTAGTTTGCTCATTCTCAAATTAAGTATCAAGAAAAGTTTGAAAGGCTGCAAATCTTGCTTTCCCTAATTCAGCTTAATATATTCCTATTCAGTCTTTACTCCTCCTTTTCCAAAGTAGGAGGAAGAGAAAAAAGGAGGGAGAGGATATATGAACACAAATCGTCCCCTCATTATTAGTGAAGTATGATATTGTCGGTAAAAAAATGGACCATTTGGAACAAATTTTTTTTTTCCATTTTTTTTTAGTTTTCAACATTTACTTCCACAAGATTGAGTTCCAAATTTTCACCCCATCTCGCCCCTCCCCCCACCCCAAGATGGCATGCATTCTGAATACCCCTTCCCCTAGTCTGCTTTCCCTGCTATCTCTCCCCTCCTTCCCCTTCTATTTTCTTGTATGGCAGGATAGATTTCTGTACCCCATCTCCTGTATTTCTTATTTCCCAGTTGTATGTAAAAACATTTTTTTTTCAACACGTGTTTTTAAAACTCTGGGTTCCAAATTTTCTCCCTTCTTCCCTCCCCACTCACCCTCATTGAAAAGGCAAGCTATACATGTGCAGTTATGCAAAACACTTCCATAGTAGACATGCAGTGAAAACTAACTCTATTTCCCTTAATCCTATCCTGCCCCCCCATTTATTCTATTCTTTCTTTTGACCCTGTCCCTCCTCAGAAGTATTTGCTTCTGATTACCCCCTTTCCCAATCTGG